AATATACCCGCAAGAAAGGAGCACAATTTTTACCACTTTCCGTCAATGGGGAATAATCAAACTTCCAGGGACGTCAACTGACACACAGCTCTATAAACAGTATCCCGTGTTACTACTGACCAAACGGGCCAACTAGACAAAATATATTCAATTCATTCGCTTAGGGGGTCAACCGTGGATGAAACAGTTGTCTAATGCCCTTTGTCAACCATCACGAAAAGTTTTGTCACAAACGGAAATTGAATGAGCTCAAAACACCAAACTGGATGGTAATAGATTGATAATGAGAAATTATGTTTCATCTTGCATTCTTCCTTACTCTAGCACCTTCCGTTTGCCAATTAACAGCCTCCCTGACTCTCCAGATTCTTCTTCGACCAATTGTCGGTTACAGCCGTACCAACGGTCTTCTCATCCGAAAGCACTCCCGTCCTTCAAGTCTTCCAAATCGGTTTCCTCACTCACCTCTACTTCTAGTGGTGAGCTGAACAAATCTCCTTCAATGACCAATGAGAAGTTTGCTCAAATGCTTCCATATGAACTCAAGCCGAGCGGTAGGTATAACTATTTTTGGTGGTATTTTTTAATGTATTTTGAAGTTTAAATAGCCTATCCATACCATCCTTCCTTTCTGGTCATGCAATGATTTTCCGCATCCGGACTCAACAAAACCCAGACTTGCTGCAGTAAATGATTGGTAAATTTGTAGCCTGTAACGTGACGTGTATGTCGCAATCCCTTTTTGGACACCATTTTTCCTTCACGTAATCAGCAATACATTGAGAATGCACTGTAAATTTCACTCTAATGTGGTAGAACGAATTAGAGACCTTTTTCTGAATCCTCATGAAAAACCTGATTTGGTAAAGACCTTCCGGTTGAAGTCACCAAATGACATACTGCATCTCTTTTTGTTACTACCGGCTCAAATGAATTGACTGACCATAGGTACTGAGGACATCTGAACTGTGGTTCGACGCTTCTTGTTTGCCTCAATGTGAGCTGGTTAGCACAGCGGTTAGATGCGCGCCGTTTGGAGTTCAAATCCTTGATGGGTGTTGGGTAGAACGGTACTGAAACTCAAGCATATAGTGCATTCCCAAGTATTTGATGAATCTAATGATCAAAGAATTGCGAGGGAACTCATGGAATAAAGCGTTACCAGTTAAAACCATTCTAAAAGATCGAGAGATGTGTTTACAATATACTCATTTTGGAGAACTATCCCATTTACAAAGTGTTCATAGTTGATGCAATGTTCATGTGAGTTGATTACCTCTAGTTGCGAACTTTCTTCTTCACAGGGCGTACCATGAAAGTGCGAAGTAAATCGATCTTTGACACAGATCGCTGCAGTCTTTTTGTGCTTTTCTGTATTAAATTTTGCAACGTCCAATTGCATTTGGTCGTTAGGAAGGTGTTCCGTATGGTCACTTATTGCCTTATCTCTGACTGTACTCATTGTAACTTGTATCTTAACCGAGTGTTTAGGTATTACCTATTACTTATCGAGAAGTTAAATTTTTTGGTTTTTGTCTGACACATTGATCTTGGGCTTAATCTGCCTGAGCATTACCATGGTAGTTACTATCGAAATTCGCAAGAAGGTCTCACGCAATCCTGTTCTTCGATCGCGCTATTCGATTGGCTGCACTAAATTTACTCCCTCGGAATTATTTTGTTTGTGGTTAATACCACATGATGACCGCTCGTAAGGTTTGTTCGCGGTCACAGTCGATCAGCTTCAAGCATGATTTGCTCGATACTCTGCCCTTTACGTCCTCCCCAGCTCATTTTCCGGGTCCTGCTCAAATAAAGGGACACAATCGCGGCGGATGGCAAGCAGCGCTTAGTCGCACACTCTCATTGAACATGATTGTGCCCTCATTGGTCAACATGAACATCAGGTCGCTTTTCGTAAAGGGGCCAGATCTAACGTGCACACTCAATTCACGCATCCACCGCAACACGTGTGTCGTTTGTATTCAATAATCCTGGCTTGGCCAATATCTTGAGGATTCATAAGTTGGAATTAATGGTTTCAAATGCTTCCTTAAGGACAAATAGCACTGTAAGAAGAAAATAGGAAGTGGAGTGATCACCTACTTCAACTCTTCTTGGAGTGGCAAGTCTGAGGTTCTTTTTGCTTATTCCGCCGATAGCGTGGACAGTTCAGATATTCAACGTTTCACCAGATTTTCGCGTTATAGAAGCCCAATCATAACCAGTTTATACATAGCTCCGTTTTTTACCCAGTCTCACATTTCATCCTTCTTTGATGCCTTTATACCCTGATAGACGACAGTCTCCACATTATTATTGGTGACCTTAATCCTGCATCCACTTATCCCATACCCTCTTTTGGCTGAACTGATATTTTCTTGTCTCCCACAAGAGGTGATTCATTTTTGGACAAGGTAACTACTAAACACCCAGAAAATTTTGCTCTAAAACTCACAGAACCTGCTTTCACTAGTGACCGGTCTTGGTTTTCATAAGATCCACAGGGTACTCTTTTCTCATTTACAATACGCTTACAAGAACGAAAGAAATCACCATTCGCCTTCGCAATTTCTCCCCCAGAAACACTTTCCTAGTGTCGTTTCTTCGGAGTTTTCCTCCTTTCCTTCTTTATATAATGCAGTCAACTTAATCACTGAAACATTCTACTACATGCTACCCTTTTAAAACTTTATTTGACTGTAACGGCGGAATAGCATGCCACTATTGAAATCATTCAGAAGACAGAAGGAATGTGTGTACGAATCTAGAGACTCAGCGGCTGTCAAGTATTAGACTAACGTGATCAGAGGTTGAAGTCAAACGCTTATCTATATCGTACGTCTCCCAGCTTCTGCAATGTAACAATAGCCTGTGAATTTGATAAGGTATTAAATTGCTGTGAAAATAAAGCCAAAACTCCGGATTGTACAACGGATTTGGACAGCGTTAACGCAGCATTTATCCACCCATCAAGCGATGGCATTTTGTTTTGAATGGTGCTGT